CTGCACAATTTTCTGTTGAGTCATCAATGCTCAAGTAGCCCAGAGCATAACCATTTACTTGCCTTTAGGAATTAAGAGTGATAAAATCAAATAAGTTAGTAGAGATTAAGATTGGTTGTGATAAAAATGATTATGACCATAAGTTGATAGTGAGCGAGAAGCAATAGATTTAATAATTCCTAAGTTACGTTTAGTGCTCTTTCGCATCTCTTAAAAATGACTAAATAATACAGAAATATGCTCATCTATTACATTTTTCTCTTCCAAAATACCCATAAAATGTTGCAGTTGCAAACTTTTTAGCCTCATATTTGGGATTCATCATCTTATGCAAGATCGGAGTATCCAAGTTACGGAATTATGAGTTATAGAACACCAAGAAGTAGTCCATCTTAGCTTTCTCATATAATATGGCCCCTGGGAATGTGTACCAAGCCTTACTCTTAACGATAACCTTAAAGTATAGAACATCCTCGTCACATAACATAGAGACTCCACTAAACTCTAATTTTTCCTCACCTGGGTCAGTTGGTCATTGAGAGAGAGGCAAGAATTGAATTAAAATGTGAGACTTAAGCAGATTCTCTGAGATTCTTAGTTTAATATCTTCAGAACACCTTGTCTTAACGTAATCAAATCAGACTTGATGATCCATCAAGTCACCATACTTCAGTAACTGATGACATTTTCCTTGCTTTTTCTAAAATTCATAAGATCACTATAGATTGCAAGTCATAAGAAATCAGCTTTGCCAAAAGACTAACCATATGTTATATGCTAAATTTAAAGTTAAAATATTATCTGAGACGTTTTGAGTTTGTCCTTGAAATTTAGCCTACCATGCTTCAAAAAGTGTAAATCTCATCCGAGGAATAAAAGTTAAGGCACACTTTTATACTAATGTCATATGAGTGCTTTCTTAATTTCACAAAAACATTCAGATTTTTTCATAATCATTCATATCATATACATAGCTAGTCAAATCAGCTCCGTTTTCTAGTTGTTGCATCAAAAATTAAATATACGTTATCATGTTAAGCGTTACAGTTGTATCTTGATGTTAAAGTGATCTGTCCTGTACTATTTATCTATTTTTCGTATATAAGTATAGTTTCGAGACTACCAGTAAGGAGATAATTTAGTGATTTTTGATTCCACAGAAATTTTGGAAGTACAAAAATGCTCCTTAAGGATTCACTTCTGATAAGACTGATATCAAAATCAATTGACCATTATTTACCCTGGAACCCTCTTAAAGAGGGTTTATAACTCAATACCTCGAGAAGCTTTCCTCTCTTGCGCTAATGTGAACTCATGTTGTATCATTTACTGGGGTTTAAAAAAATTTGTTGCTGATAATTTAGTTTAGTTTAATCACAATAGAGACATAGGCGAGCCTATGGAAAAAAATGCATCGATACAGCCTAACTTGATTCAAGAAAACTGCCAATACAAATATGATAAAATATAGAATTAATAAGTTTTGCTAGTTTATGTACACTTTCATTTAAATACCACTTGTTCATCGTGAGCAAGGGTAAAATCCTTTTTACAAACCGAACTGTTCAATGTTCAGCTCTTATTGGGAATGGCAATAAAGCTCAAAGAAGAGTGATTCCAATTCATTTTATTACGAAACATACGATAAGGTCAAGAATTCTGTCCTGCTTTCCTTGATTAGTTATATATGCATAGATTATAAAATCATATTTTATTGGCTGATCAGCAGGCTTTTACCTTCCAATTATCCAACTGTTGCTGGGATTCTCTTGTAGGGACTTCGGGGCAAAGGAGACATACACACAGCTCTGTGTTCCAGGAGCCAAAATAAGTTGTTTCGGCCTCAACTGGAATAATTGAGTAGGAAGGTCTGAAGCTATTAGCTCATCGGTTTGAGCCACAGCTGCTTGTTGAACTAGACGACCCTCATGTGGTCGCAGAACTAGAGACAAAAGCTGTTCCTCATATTTTGGCGCGAATTCGTCACAATTACCCTTGTCCACTTTAGCGACATCAATTCTTGCACCGAAGGTTGAATCATTGTCACCTAAGAAAGCATAAATTTGCATAATAAAATATACAGGCTCTTTAATACAATAAGGTTAGTTTATTGATTGCAAATGCATGCTTTATAATATCCTAAATTTTAGTCAGTTTGCAAAATAAGTATAAAAAGGAAAATGTAAACAATTAATAGGTTATATCTCTACATAAAGTTAAAGCCTCAGAAATTTTTAATTGAAACGGGTTATGTGCAGTAATTATTTCTGTACCTTCTTTTATGTCGACACTTTCAGTATATATGGTCTGATCTCGTCCAAACGCCTCGCCAAAGAGGCAACATAAATCCAATAATTGTGTATCCTGTCGTCTTGAGGAAGAAAGAAAGAGTTGCCAATCTATTCGCACCTCTTGAGTGATGCATCAATAAATGTTTTAGGGTTAGAGGAATGTAATAAGAAAATATGCAAGTAAAATTTTAGGTAGCAAATTAGAACGAAAAACTATTGTAAGAGTAATACGTGACATGATATACTCGAGCTTAACTACCCTATAGTAAAAAGCATGCAAATTTCTCTATATTTTTATTGTATTTATTGGGTATAAGTCTGATCTGAGAAGAGTTATTTATGAATGAGAAAGGCGGGATTTGATTAGCCCAAGTGCAGAGTTCAGCTGACTAGAATTTCTTATATATGTGATATGCTCCCTCTATTTCGTTTAATGTGATGAAAGAATAGTGGTTGAATTTTCCCACAATAATATGAGTGAAACTTACATTTTCCTTAAATTTCGCATAGCCTTGCCTTCCCAATTGGTATTTGTATTCAGGTTGGAGTGGACTGCAGTTTCAAACTAGCTTAGGTCTCATCAGCGCCCCCAGCGGGACTCAAACCAAGACAATGCAGTGTATAATATCGACACGTTAACCACTACACCACATTGCCTCGAATGCTCTTGGGTCACAGGAAAGATGTAAATTTCAAATAAGGCTAGGTATTTTCACATATCACTTTCTGTGGTAGGTTTGCCAGTGAAGCAAAGTTATATTTGCTATAATAATCGACTACATTCCTTTTTTTTCGTTTGTAAGTAGGCGAAGTCGAAACTGCAGCCAAGAATGGATGAGAAAACCTTTTCGGACGTAAGGCTATGTTAAATACAATATAAATCTAAGATTTACTCAAATCATTATGGTAAAATTCAGCTGCCAATCCTTCTTCACCTTAAACGAAATAAGGTGAACACATCTCGCATCTTATTTAATAGCAGACTCGAAACCCTACTTGCAGACGAAATATTAAATTTATTAATTTCTCGTATTTCAAGCAATTTCAAAGGTAGCAAAACAGCTCATATTTCGTCTATTTGATCTGCATGTCTCACTCAATGCCTTGACATGTGTGGGATTCCATCGGCCGGCTAATTAAGTGATTATAAATGACCTCATCCCGTGGACACACTAACAAATAAAACCAAGAGTAAGAAAGAAATCACCATGAAACACTAAATAATGGATAGATGTAGCTTGAATCCTTCTTTGCGAATTTGCCTTGTTATCAACGTGGCATTTATAAACTCATCTTGTCCAGCATTCCCAGACATACCAGGTCCATGGTCCGAGTATGGAAGCTATCATAGCTAATTTAGCAGACAACCTTGGACAATGTGACGTTATCGAGCTCTCCCTGAT